CTACACTTTGAAATTGAAATGGCCATTTAATAATAAATGACGGAAGAACATATAATACAATGTTGATATGAAAGTTATCAAACGAACATAAAATTGTGAAATGGCCATTTAATAATAAATGACGTAAAAACATATAAAACAATGCTGATATGAAAGTTATAATATAACATAAAGTTGTATATAGAGCAAGCAAACATTTCTGAAAAATGTATATAAAATTATTTACACACATATCCCGAAAATTTTTCAAAGGTTGGGTTCTAAGAATATTGCCACAAATTGTGTAAAACACAATTCCCCCAACCAAAACTTCTTGAATGAAATTGACTAGTCATGTGACCACAATCGTTTCACTATTGGCTTCCGGGATATCGAAACGTAAGTTTCACATTGTCTCATATTTGCGGTTAGGCAACATTTTCATATATTCGTATATAATATCTTTAAATGTGTTTTGCAATAGATTAACCAGTTACTTGTATTTTCATAAATGTTATCTATGTAATTATTTGTTCTTGCTTGAACGATATAATTTAGATAATTATTAATTTATTCATGTTTTATGGATATATGGTGTTGTCAAACTTATAGCTGATGTATAAGTCGAACACGATAACGTTTACATTAATGACCGGTACCATCATGATATAATGGGTTGTTCAAGTTCTTTAATTATTACATTTTGCATTTTTATTGCAATATAGAAGAATATAAGTGGATAAAGACACTGTTTAAATCTAGAATTGAGCAAATTTCTTGAGTATTGTTGTTACTTTCAGAATATAATTTCTAAAATGTGCCACGTATCTTTTTATTTGACCTTTTAAAACGTTTTGCAGTATTTAAACTTATGAAGATTAAGCACAATTGTATGTAAATGTGTTTGATTTAAATTGTCGTTGAACAGATTGAAAAGTATAATTAATTTTATTCTGTTTGAAACTCTAAATCCCATTCGCCACATTTTTATAATTTTGGAACATTTATATATACAGAATATATCTTCTTTTATTGCTCATTCATCACACTAATCATGACGTACTGTGTTGTCTTATACTTAAGCTGTTAAATGCGAATGTGTGTATACTGATCTCAAATAGCATAGTGTTAATGAAATTCACGGGGAACTAAAATTTAATTTGTTGTAAAAAAAGCTAAAAACAAAAAAAAGAAAGAAATAAAAAAATGTCTTTTCCAGGATTCTAACCAAGGTTTTTACACTCACATAGCGAACATTCTACCACTACGCTTTTATGCTAAAGGCAACAAAATGAGTAGAAATTAGTAGGAAACAGATTTAGGAGATAAATAGTATGTTTTAATATAAGAATTATCGGCACTTCTATGTGTCAATATTGATGTAAACAGATATTGAAAGGAATAGCGAATTCGAGCTGTAAAGTCCGAGCACGATAAACAGAACTTTCATCTGTTCTAAAAATACAAGCAGTCTGTTCTAAAAATACAAGCACAGTCAATTTACAACTAACTCAGGTAAACATAGGTAAACTGCAAGTGATTAACCAAATAATTCTTAAAAGTTATACAAATTATATTTTATGAGATATTATCTTTGTTTGGCACTATAGCACAGTAAGTAAGGCCGCTTATTAATATAGCTTATGAATTCAATAAGTGGGTTCGAAACCCGGCGAATAGAGCATCAATACAAAATCTCATCTTAAAGACTGTTTATAATAATAGAAAACAGTTTCTTTAATTCTGTTTTACCTTCTGTCTGACAAAATAAATATATGATTACGCATAGTTACTTAACGATATTGTATTTTTGTTTCTCATAAAATTTGTCAAAATATTCATACATCTATAATAAGAAAGAAATGATTAATAAAAAAAGATAGTGGAATAAATGAAATGAAAATACTTCGATTAAAAAATAACATATATTAATCAATTAAATGAAGGAGGGAAAAAGGAAATTTAAAAAAACAACAAAAATACTAACCTAGACAAATTTTGGAGCCTGTTACCCTTCTGTCACGGAGTAGCTTCCTTTTGAACTCTACCGAGGGAGCTATTGCGATTTTTATTACTTACTTTTACAATTATCAGTCAAACGTACTATCAATAGGATGTGCAATATATACCTATATGGTGTTAATATATAAATAACACACGGGTTTGTGGGTAACAGTAAAAATATCATCCCGAGCAAAATACTGTTACCCGAGGCGTAGCCGAGGGTAACAGTGTTTTACGAGGGATGATATTTTTACTGTTACCCACAAACCCATGTGTTTTTTATTTTATTATCCCGAACAAATACCGTGATGATCTGAATTTGTAAACTAAACTCTAACTGTAACAAAAATAAACCAAGAGTAGCAATAACTAAATTGTCCTTACCTTGCAAGTTTTAAGTGTACTGTAGGCCTACTTGATAAGCTGTTTTTCTTTTATTCTTTAAGCGATTAAGTGATGATATTTACCAGTCATAAACATACAATAAGCTGTGTTTTATTTAAAAAAACAAAACACTAACCCATTTATAAGGTTATGATCTGTGAAATCTGATCCTTCTGTATCCAGAATATTCTTCGCATTGTTTTTGACAAAGTGCATTTACAAAATAACGATGGTATCCTATGTCTGTCCACCAACTCTATCTGTAACTTTTCACTAATTATCTTCGTTGCATGCTTTAATCGTCTGCATGTTCCAGTTTGACACAAAATTATTCACATTACAATAACATCCGTTGAAAACGGATGTTTACTTTTGACTAGTCAACAAAAAGATATTGTATACGCGAAAATAACTCTATGGTGCGAAGAACTAAATTTTATGAGAGCCATAGTAACTTTGGTGATGCCCTAGGCCCTATCGTCGAAAATAAAAACGAATCGAGAGAAATGGCGGCCATTTTATTTCATTTTATTTAGAAAATAGACCACGTGACCAGATTTTATACTGTTAAAAATACTGTTACCTATGTAACAGTACAAAAGTCTTAGTCACGTGGTACACTTGCATTAACAGTAAGAATAACTCCCAGAGGCCTATGGGAAATTAAAATTACGAAAAAAGTGAGGGGTAATAAGATGGACTGTTCCGTAATGTTTCATTATACAAAAACGCACGTTACAATTGTCTTCCATATTGTGGTTAGTTTGGTAATATCTTTACAAAGAAAACCCAGTGGTTTTATTTCACTCGCTTAATGAGTATCTTGAAAGTTTTTAAGCATTAGATTTTTCAGCATTAAATTCCTGGTTTGTAAATATTTGCTGTAATTACCAGCTATATGGATATTGATTAAATCTTAACGTCTTAAACAGAATTGTACACAATAACCATAGACCTACTTAAGCACATGTTTTCATATTTAAGATACCATTAAGCACTAACTGCCTGCCATGGACGACATGTTGAAAATCAGGAATAGCATCTGTGTTTGTTTTTGTTTAAAATCTAGTTTTTTTCCTTAGTCCATGTTTGTAACATACATATTCAATTTGTACACCTAACATTCTCCTCTGCTGATAAAATAATTACACAAACTGAGATTTTCGTGCACGTGTCCAGTCTTTCGAATCAATAATGTAATACATTTTCTGTAATCCAAAACATTAACAGTATGAAATCCGATATGTTGCGATGAATGTCTAAACCAGTTGCATTGAAGGGAGTTAAACACTTGTTGTAGACTGACGTAAGCCAATGTGTACGTGTAATTTAACTGCATTTATATGATTATCAAACATACAAACATTACACAGAAAAATACAGAAGCATGGTAAAACATTCATTAAATCGCTGCTTTGGTTGGTTGTTAAGCGTTGCAAAAAGATTTGTGGAAAACAAAAAGTTTTGATATTCATTGACAAAAATCTCCCATATACTATATAATAATTTTTATGATGACTTAAACAATGAAAGTTTAATCAAAACGAAATTTGAAAAGGAAGTTTTTAAGTTGGTATGATAAATCCACGGATTTGTAACACGTACAAAGGGAAATACTGAAAACCCCTGCAAATCTGAAAAAGAAAATCGTAAGTAACCCTTCTTATGTAAAACAACTTTTGTTACAGTTGACAGAATAATCAATGGTAACAGTTTATTAATCTTCAAAGAATAGAACACTGTTCGGTTTGGAACTTACTAACATCACCATCTACGCAGTCGGTAGGTAATTATATTATGAATATTTGATTACTATGCAAAAATATTTGAAAATTATTTACATTATATTTATTGAACACATTAATGATCATATAATATATTGGACATTTATTAAACATAAACTGATGGTACCTTATTTTTGATGTGTTTTTCGATATTTTCATGTGCATGAGTAAACTTACAGGATCGTGAACGTTATTGGTTGTAGAATTCAGGGGTCAATAAGGTTCTAAGGGGATTGTACATTCGTTTTACTCTGAATTGAGAAACACGTGTTGTTGTTGTTGTACTAGTTTTTATTATATAGGTACAAGACCACTATATTTTTAGGTAACAACATTAGGTCATAAAACACTAAATTAATTACAACAGTGAATACCTAACACACCCCCATACTTATTTAACAGTTATCATTTACTGCTTGATAAATGTCACTCTTGTTAATTAACTGAAAGTAAGTGTTCAATAGTTCTAACCAAATTAACACTGTATCATTTGTATAAACACATGTGCTTAACTTTGTACAAGTAACAGAACTCTATAACAATTACAGCAAAAATTACAAAATTAGGTACAACACTAAAAGAAAAAAAAAAAAAAAAACGTTTTAAACAAAAGCTTTGATTGTATAATCATTGTTATCCAGGAAACTAAAGTAGCAACTAAATATATGTATTCACTAAAGATCAGTATCTCCAATAGACTTCAGTACAAAACTTCCTTTTTACTAAATGTACACCATTTTTTATGAACATTAAACTTGATTAAAATAAAAATATCTGCTGACATGATTCTTTCATTAGCACACAATTCACACTTAGGGGATTATTATGCCCCTTTAACACTGATTTGATTCACAAATTTAACTTATCAGGTTTCTTTATTGTGCGACTTGAACGTCGAAGCTCAGGAACAGGCAGATTTGCAGAAGTTTCAGGAACAACTGGTATCTTTGTTGGTTGCTTAACAACTTCAGCCGGAATCTCAGATGGTCGTTCAGTAACTACCAAATTAGGATCTTGTGACTGTAACCTTGACGGATAAACATCAGCTGCTCGAATCTGATCTGCGTGCCGTTTCCATGATACACCAGGACTAATTTCTACTCTATATGAGACCGGACCAGTTTGCGTTTTAATTACTCCTGGAATCCATTTTTCATACTTTTCACGATAATCACGTATCATAACAGTATCCTCCACTAAATAATTTCTATCAGATGTAGATCTTACCATTTTCGATTGCGCTTTCTCAACCCGATTTTGTAAACTTGGTCTGAATTTATCGAAACGAGTAGTAAGTGTACGCCCAAACATCAGTTTTGCAGGTGTCTCCTTTGTTGTGCTATGCTCACTATTTCTATACTGCATTAAAAATCTAGATAATTTTGTCTGTAAAGTTCCAGAGTCATTTTTAGAAGCTTTTAATGCTTGTTTAAATGTTTGCACAAATCGCTCCGCCAATCCATTTGTTTTTGGATGATATGGTGCTCCTCTAATATGTTTAACACCATTCTGACTTAAGAATTTCTGAAATTCATCTCTAATGAACTGAGGTCCATTGTCGCTCACTAGTTCATCGCAAATACCTAAATCTGCAAATATTGATCGCAAAATCTCTATTGTCTTCGAAGTGGTTGTTGTTTGCATAATTTTAACTATTGGCCACTTTGAATAAGCGTCGACTAACACAAAAAACATGTATCCCATAAATGGACCTGCGAAATCAACATGAACTCGAGACCATGGTCTACTAGGATATTCCCACGGATGTATTGGTGCTTCCGGTGGACTGGACTTTGACATCATGCACCCAGAACATGACTGTGCGATGCTCTCTAGATCAGTGTCTATTCCGGGCCAATACACATAGCTACGAGCAAGGGACTTCATTTTAACTATACCAACATGTCCAACATGTAGCTCATTAAGAACAGCTTGTCTTAATGTTTGTGGAATGACTAATCGTATACCCCACATTAGGCAACCTTGGTATACAGAAAGTTCTTTGAATCTAGTTTTGTAAGGTTCATACACTCTTGACATTTCACTTATTTCATGTCCTTTGATTACATGTTCATACACTTTTGACAGAACTAAGTCTCTTTGTGTTGCTAAAGCAACTTGATTGCTTGTAATAGGTAATTTATCAAACTGATGACTGTAAAATATGTCAGTTTCATCTAACTGATGACTTTCAACATACTGCAATGGCAATCTAGATAATCCGTCACAGTTACCGTGATGCTTTGTGTACTTATACTGAATTTCGAAACGGTATCCGCTGAGAAATAAGGCATATCGTTGCAGTCGAGCAGCTGTAGTCGAACAAATGCCTTTCTTCGGACCAAAAATTGACAAGAGAGGTTTATTATCCGTAATCAACAGAAACTCTCGACCAAATACATATGGATGAAATTTCTTAATTCCCCAAACTATCGATAAGCCCTCTTTATCTATTTGACTATAGTTTCTCTCCGCGGATGAGAGACTACGAGACGCAAATGCAATTGGTCGTTCTGTTCCATTCGGCAGTCTATGACTTAGTACAGCACCAAGGCCAAAAGAACTCGCGTCACAAGCTAAAATAACTGGCAAGTCTGGATCATAATTGACCAACACAAGATCTGACGTGATCATTTTCTTGACTGTCTGAACTGCCTTATCACAATCACTTGTCCATTTCCAACGTGCATTTTTCTGTAGTAATTGGTGTAATGGATGTAGTATTGTTGAGAGATTTTCAAGGAATTTGGCATAATACTGTACTAGACCTAAAAATGATCTCAGATCTTTCACATTCTTAATTTCAGGTGCATTTACAATTGCAGCAATTTTTGCATCTGTCTTGTGGAGTCCATCCGCATCAATTTCATGCCCACAAAATTCAACTTTTGGCTCCATAAACTTACATTTCTCTACATTTACGCGAAGACCATACTCGTCTAACCTCTTTAATACTTGTTCAAGGATTTCAAGATGTTCCTTGTCATCAGATCCCGTTATGATCATATCATCAAGAATAACTTGAACATTAGGAATGTCTTCCATGATCTGCTCAATTAACCGTTGAAATATAGCTGGCGCGGAGGCCACACCGAATACAAGACGGTTGTACCGGAATAAACCTTTATGAGTTGATATCGTTAAGAGCTTCTTACTTTCATCATCAACTTCAAGTTGCAAGTACGCGTTTTTTAAGTCAATTTTAGAGAATTTCTTGCCTTTCCCTAGAGATGCAAAGATATGTTCAATTTGTGGAAGAGGATGCTGGTCGACTTCTAAGACTGGATTGATGGTGACTTTAAAATCACCACATATCCTAATGTCCCCATTTGACTTAGGAACTGGTACTATAGGAGTAGCCCATTCACTGTGAGTAACTTTTTCAAGAACACATTCACTTAATAAACGTTCTAACTCAACTTCAATTTTAGGCTTAACTGCAAATGCCACAGTCCTAGTTTTGATAAATTTTGGATTTGAAATCGGCTTCAATTTAAAGTACATGTGTAGCCATTTACTTTGCCTTAAGTACTCTTGAAAACATTGGCATATCTAGATTTCATGTTCTTAACTTTTTCATTGACATCAATGCTATTCACTTCTGAATTGAGTGACTTAATTTCATGCCAATTCAACTGTAACCTCCGTAACCACTCGCGTCCGAACAACGGTCTACTACCATGTTCCACTACATACAAGTTCAACATTTCACATTGCCCATTTTGTTCTACTGTACATTTCAAGCATCCAACTGGTTTCAACACTTCCCCAGAATAGGTTTTCAGTTGTATATCAGTTTTTTCCAATTCCGCACTTGGCCAGAGTCTAAAACAATCCTCCTTAGATATTACCGACACACCCGAACCTGTGTCTAGTTCCATTTTCAAGATTTGTCCATTCACAGTAGGAGTTACCCAGATAACTTTCTTATAATTTCCCTGATCATTGTGATCCATTTGAAATAAGCAATGTCCAAGATCTAAATCATCTTCCTCTATACCATGAACTTGCCCTTTTTTATTTTTACTGTTATGTCCTTTTTGCTTTTTCGGAACATTGTCAAACTTGTTTGTCCTACATGCAGGCGAAATATGTCCCTTTTTACCACAAAAGTTACAGATCGCATCTTTAAAACGACAAGCATCTGGGGTGTGGTTTTTACGATTACATCTGTAACATTCCCTTTGAATCAGGTCCTTTTTTATTTGTACAGGTTTCTTGTTAAAACTAGATGCCACTTTATGCATAGATGCAGCGCCGCCTGCTGTTTGATGCAACTCTTTAACGTCCTTTTGTGCACATTCCATAGAGATAGATAACTGAAGAGCCCTCTCGTACGTTAAATCTTTCTCACTCAAGAGTCGTTTCTGAATATTTACATTTGTCAACCCACAAACTAGTCTATCTCGAAGTGCATCATTTAATCCCTCTCCAAATTTACAATGTTGTGAAAGCTTTCGTAAATTCACATTAAAATCACTAATACTTTCGTCCGCCCTTTGGTCGCGCTTCCAGAAACGGAACCTTTCAGCAATAACAAGTGGAGCAGGATTGAAGTGGCTCGATAATAGTGTTGTTAACTCAGCGTATGACTTGTCCTTTGGTAAAGCTGGAGATGTCAAATCTCTCAAAGTTGAGTAAGTTTTAGACCCTACCAGGGCCAGGAGAGCTGGTACCCTTTTGTCATCAGCAACATCATTAATTATGAAATATTGATCTAGTCTTTCCATATAACAAGTCCAGGATTCGCCACTAAAGTCGAATGGATCAATTTTGCCAATTAAGGATGACATGATTTCGGATAATCAATTTCGGATACAACAAAGTTCAGTTATTTCGTTGCATATAATGTTCTTAGAACCACAAAACCATTTAGCAGATAATTTGCTATAACGTTTTCCTCGTCGCCACTGTAGAATTCAGGGGTCAATAAGGTTCTAAGGGGATTGTACATTCGTTTTACTCTGAATTGAGAAACACGTGTTGTTGTTGTTGTACTAGTTTTTATTATATAGGCACAAGACCACTATATTTTTAGGTAACAACATTAGGTTACAAAACACTAAATTAATTACAACAGTGAATACCTAACATTGGTGGTCTCGTTATTCTAGACTAATAGAATCTATCATTGGGTTAGATATAGGATAGGGAAATCCCAACCCGAGGGTGATCGGTTCTATCGGGAACGAGCCTTGACGAGTTCCCGATGGAACCGATTGCCCGAGGGTTGGGATTTCCCTATCCTCTATCTAACCTAATGATTGATTATTTTTTTCACGCACCTGGACACAAAAATATCAGTGAAACTAGATTTACTTGCTACGCCCTAGTTTTGAAAAGCGGGGCGGGGCTTAGGCGCCTGACGTACGTCCGCAAAAAAATCTACTGACCAAGTTTATGTGTGAAAAATTCAATGAAAATAAATTGTAGGAGATCCCTCATAAAAAAGCAAGGTTATCATAATAAAACACATCAATATTAAAGTCGCAAAGTGTCATAATATAATTAAGTGTTTATAAGAAATTCAGTCCATACTTAAATGGTTGCCAAAAACACAGGCGGCAGTATCAGTGTTTGGACACCCCACCCCTAGCTGCCCCTGGACCCCTACTACAACCCTGAAAAAAAATTCAACACTCTAAGGCTTACTTTTAGGTACCAAATACAAAACCACCGATGAAATTATATAAAAAAAAATTTCCACTATCAAAATTATAGTTATAGAAGGGTGAAAAGCCTACTATATGTTCATTTGCCAAACAATGTGGAACTCGGGAAATCGTCCATTCGGCGACTGAGGCGCATTCCGAAGCCATTTTGCTGCATCATTCATTTACATCAATAAAAAGACCTTGAATTCCACAGCTTACTTAATTCAAGTTTAACGAATATCAATATTCTATCGATTATTTCTATTTCACGGTAATTTTTGACTTGTCGCTGCCATTTTGGATTCTGACCCCTGTGTTATACGCGATCTGATTGGACGTCAAATTTGGCTCGTCCAATCAGATCGCGTATTTTAACCCAGGTATCAGACTGCAAAATGGCTACGACAATTCAAAAAATACCGTGAAACAGAAAAAATCGGAATGATAGTGATATTCGTTAGATTTGAATTAGATAAGCTGTGGAATTTTAGTTCTTTTTATTAATGTTGATGAATGATGCAGCGAAATCCTGCCGAAATGCGCCTCAGTCACCGAAACGACGATTTCCCGTGTTCCACATTGTTTGGCAAATGAACATATAGTAGGCTTTTCACCTTTCTATAACTATAATTTTGATAGTGGAAATTTTTTTTTTATATAATTTCATCGGTGGTTTTGTATTTGGTACCTTATAGTAAGCCTTAGAGTGTTGATTTTTTTTTTTCAGGGTTGTAGTAGGGGTCCAGGGGCAGATAGGGGTGGGGCGTCCAAACACTGATACTGCCGCCTGTGGCCAAAAAGCGTTTACCGTTTGCAAAGATTTTTCTACTTATTCGGTTATTTTGGCCGAATATTCAATTTAAATATATCAAAATGAGATTCGTCACCAAGAAGCATCGTTATCATAACAGACAACATGGATGTTCTTCAGGAAAAGTGTCAAAATATCGAATTTAACGAAGAATTTTGCGATATTTTAAAGTGTGCTATTTTCGATATTGAAAAGGGCGGACCTAGGTAGAGTAGGACTCATTCCAGTGTGAAAGTTAATATCAATCTATTTTGATTCCGTGTTTTTAATACATTTTGAACTTTTGACGTTTCATTTTTGTTAAAATAGGAGTGAATCGTGTATGTGTAGGAATACGTTTTTAGAAGTGCTGCACGTTGAGTGTGAGATAAGCCTATGTGAGATAAGATTTTCCAACACCGCTATTTTTAGTATCATTAACGGATTTTTCTATCTGGTTAGTGAGAAAAAATTTATATTTCAGTAAGTTCTTGTGTAAAATAAACTCAGTAAGTGTTTATGTGTAATAAAATGTTCACTATAAAATGTTATTAGATTTAAATGCAGTGTAAAAATGCTTTGTCGGAGTAAGTAGATTAAGAAGGCCTAAACAGAAAAGTTTAACTGCCTTTTCCCAGTCTAATCTTTTAAACACAGAAGTTATAAAAGTAAAGAACAAATACAACTGACTTTCATATATATTATACCAGTTTGTCCGGGTTAAATCAACATTATGAATGAACAAAGATGCGTGCTATAGTTTGGACGTAACAAAATAACATAAAGCACATCAAAACACAAATTTTGACATTCCTAAAGAACAATGGCTACTATTTTATCCCTGTCGGTTAATTTACAGCAAACCTTTGATCATCCTAAAAATATTTAATGATGTAACACTATTGCAACCGATGATATATAAAGCAAACAAATGTTTAGTTCTATACAATTTAACACATTGTAATTTTGTTTTGTAGTTGTTTAAAGCAAAACTGTCTTACAATCTGGTTTTACAAACTTGTTCTGGTTATATTATCGTATTTCAATATAATTTATTTTCTAAACCGATCGGATACTTACGAGTTCACTACTTTGCAACTTAGTTACTTTTACGGAAATGTTTACAAATTTTTATCATTTTTAAATGTGTACGTGACCATGACTCAATTATAAAAAAAATTCATATCTTCTTGACATTTATAAGACGACCGTTTAAAGATATCATCGTGTTAGACGGCAGATGAAGACAAATAGTTTTAGCGTGCCGCATCTTTGTCTATATTTTCAGAGACAAAAGAGTTTACAGTACATCATGTAAAGAATTTATTAAAATTAAACTCATCATGCATTTCTGTGAATTATTTACTAAATATGTCTTGGCGATGTTATTTGATACGTGGCATACATATTCATTTGCTTGATTAAAGTCTTTAAATATAAACCACATTCGTATTATCAATTTTGTTTTTATCTTGACAGACGGTTAATGTTTAATGTAAGGAAGTTATCAAGCTAGCTTGATCAAGGCCGTGCATCTTTCCTAGAGGATCTGAGAGTTATGGAAGAAAACAAATAAAATAACCATTATCATAATTTGTCGGCCTACGAGATATAAAACAATGTAATACGGAGTTTTATATAATGTAACATACTCTATACTTCCTTACAGCCTTTGCCTAAATACCACATTTGGTTTATTAATTTCATTCTAATTTAAATCATAAATGTATAATGTAAGGAAGTTATCAAGTTAGCGACAATTTTATGAAAAGATATTACAAATACACCAGAAACAGGATTCAAATCACCAGGGAATTGCCCTATAAAGATTTGGTCTTTGTAAAATAACAATACTTAAAAAGTGTAAAATCCTTTTCATTTGTGAAACATTTTAATACGAATAGTTATATAAAAAACGTTTTATCTAAACAATTTACTTTCAGTTAGACAAAAATTCTAGCGTTCTTTGCAAACTCGATAAACATGTGGGTAATACACTATAAAAATTCAATTCATTTAAGGTTCCAAAACTACCAGCAGATAGATATGGAGGCAATTTTAAGATATAAATTACACGTTTTCAAATACGTGCCTAGACAGTCGCACAATCTGTTTAACTGTACATTTATAAATTCCTTATAATATCTAATTCATCCATTTGTTAAGTTCATATTAAAACTAGATACAACAATAATAGGAGATACGATAGGAGATATTGATAATTATATTTTAATCGGCTTTTGCAAAGTACCTTTCGGTCTGAGTAACGAATCATTTATCCTTCTGTTATGTATCATTTTATGTTGGTAGCAGTATGGTATCAGTACTTTTAAGATTTAAGTCTTTGCTTTTAACTGTACATTGTACCATATAATGGGCCGCTATGCCAAAGTGGCTCTTTTCTTAACAAGTGCATGAATTCTTATCAATGGCAGTGCTTTGAATGATTGCAATGTTCTGACGTACATTTACAACAAATTGAACTACGCCAATTTATTAAATGTTCAGATTTTAAAGAATTACTAGTTCATCTGAAGTAAAATTCAGTAAAAAGCAAATTTGTTTATATTGATGCAGACTGGTTGTAAAGGACATTGGGCTTTGAGCGGCCATGTACGTCAGATGGTGGTGCAGAGGGATTGGTGCGTGCGTGCGCGTGTGTGCGTGTGTGTTTGTGCTAGCAACTACTATGCAAGCTATAAATATACCTTATAAAATCAATCACATCAAAACAAACTGAAACTGAATTTATCCTATGAAATTTGAGTCAGCATGGATGCTATTTATTTTTCTCTCTCATGTTGACAGATTGTTTGTATCAATATGTTTTTTTCTGAATACCTAAAATGTAAATAAACGTGCGCCAAAACATATTTCGTAGTTTTCATTGACCCTTGGGTAACGGATGTGAAGTGATGGGAAGGTAATCGAGTGTTTTCACGAACCATTTAAGTGGAAATAATAGCGTAGAAACATTTGCTGTGGTAATAACATACCAAAGCTACAACGACAATATATATTTTTCAGTAAGTGTATCTCAGTTGAATAACCTAATGGATCATCTGAAAAGCCACGTCATATCAAATTACGTTTACCTTGTGTAGCTTGCTCCGAATCACTTGTACAAAAATGTAAATGAACAATGTAAAAAAGATATGTCAATGAAAGAAATTGTATTGAATAGAATGTTAAAATTTTATACGATTCATTATATGTAATTATTTAAATTTATACTCAAGTATACATTCCATTGGTTGATATGAAAAAATTGAACATGTTTATCATTTTATAAACCATTATCTTTTAATATGTTTTTGTTCAACATTTAATTTTGTATACGTTTAATATTATATTAATTTTAAAATGTTCTCGACTAATTAAGTTGTATAATAAGAGTGTTTACAATAAATTATTTTATGATAAAGTCCTTAATGTATAACAACTAGCAAGTTTTGGCTATGCTCCAATTTTTTTTAACTCTATGGTTCGTTGTTAAAGATATACTGTCAATAATGGATAATTACGTGAGATTTATAAATAGGCACGGAAAACCCTGAATAAAGATAGTGTCAGGATTTAAGAAAACGGTTTGAATATTTTATATTATAACGTTGATTTACATATAACGTAATGTTAAGTTTGACAATTATCAATTATTTGTTTCGAGATGAGCAATTTCGAGCATGAATAGATAACTAGTTTAAAAGCAAATGCAATTAAGGCTGTTTGAGTTTCTTAAAATAAAAAAGTTCGAATTACATAATTTTTAATCAATTTATAAACATTGTGTCACATTCTTCAAAATACAAACCACTTAGTCATATAATTACTATGAAACAGTAAAAAATTCAACTGAATATTTTACTTGTATAAATTGAGGAAGATATGCGATCAGTTATGTTTATGTTACTATTTATAGTAGCTTAGCTAACCTAATAGTTTGAATTCACAGGTGAGCAAAATCAAACAATATATGTAAATAAAGTAACGTCACTCAAAATAGTTAAACTGATAACTGGTTTAGGAAATATTTTTTATGACTTGATAATCTAGGATTAATCATTATTTTCAAGAGGTATAAAGATTGATTTGCGAACATCTGTTTATAAATATATGACGTATTTGTTCAATCAATAAACGGAGACTAAATACGATACAGAATATACAAAGTTTTAAAAGTTTATAATAAAACAATCAATCAACAACGAAGAGCATACTGACCCCTCTTATATATATTATATGCCTGTTTTAAATAAAACGGTACATGATTACAGCATAGATCGTAATGTTGTTTTTTTAAATGTTATTAAATAGTTCATATTGATCTTTTTTTCTTCTTTAGCTACTATACTGTTAAAGATACGTATTTTTAACATAAAACTTTCTTAAGAACTTATATAATTACTTTTTATTTAATGGGTGAATCCTAAGATAAGTTGATCGTTATGATAACACACTTACGGTACACGAGTTCATTGCCAGCATTTTATAATACATGTTTAACTATACAATAACCGTTATACATTATTACTATAGAACTGGAGTTGAAACTTTGAGTAACTTATAGGGCCTACTATAAAAATTTCTTACATCTTTTTCATAATTATTATCCATCTTTAGATGAAAAACTACAGAACATACTGTGATGCTTGCTAGAGATATAAAATTCCTATTCTATATAAGATTATTTTATATCAGAGCAAGAAAAAAAACGCTACTATATTATTATTTTATACTTGGTTTTAAAACTTCTACCAATAAAATTTACTATAATTGAATGAAATAATTTAATAATAAATTAATTTTTAATCAAATATTTTTATTTATGAATTACAGCAATAAAATAAATACTCAATGATTTGTGAGTTACTGTTTAAGCATATCAGTCATTTCTATTTACATGGTTTTAAAATCAAAACGAGAAAAGGGCCATTAGATATTATTATAATAGAAGCGACTTATTATACCAAGTAATTCTAATTTAATTTATGATTTAATGCATATTTTTCATGAGGTTCATATGATTAAGGCTTAAGTACACATCTACTGTATGTTAAGAGGAACATCCAGTTCTCTTAAATTTCCAACTGTCATCGAAGAAACTATGTATATATGTGATTTTAGTGTGTATAATTACAGATAAAACTCTTTAAGATCTATTTCATATATAATTTAACCTGTCAAATGTTTAAAGATATGTATTATCAAAGGCTTTTTGCTTTAAGGCATATGAAATATATACGGGGAATCTGTATACTCTTCCGTACCTTAGTGATTAAAGCTACAATTATTTGAACGATAATCTTACATTATTGTACCACAGCAGAATATAAATTAATGTCTATTTCGGTTCTAAAATGCTCATATATCGTGGAATAATGCGCTCGATTATGCAGTATGTTCAAACGGGGAATAGTTTAAAGCGGGTTAGAATGATAATTTAAAAAGAAATAACATAAAATGAATTTAAAATTATGATTTTTACAGTATTGCAAATTCTACTTTTTGCAGGATATCAGATGGCCGATGTATTACCACGACCAAATACTTCAGAATATCTCCGGGAATATTTTCGTAAACCATGCAGACGAAATCATAATAACGGCCAGATCGCAGGTGATTCCTGGTGCAAAGAATCACGCCAAAGCAGAAATTGCGTGTCAGAATGCGACAATTTAGGGATATGGACTGGCAAACCTAATTACAGGGAATACAGTACTGTCCAATCAAGACTCGTTTCCTTCAAAAACTGGCCACCAAATAAAACGCAAACGAAAGAGCAACTCGTTGATGCTGGTTTTGCCTATACAGGGGTTGATGACTCTGTGAGGTGTTATTACTGTAGTATTGGGCTTCGTGACTGGCCGGAAGGAGCTTGTCCCTGGAAACAGCATATACTAGCAAGTCCTACATGCGGTCACGTGATCCAGTGTAAAGGTAAAAGTTTTATAAGACATGTTTTGGGAGAGCAGGCTTATGATTCTGGATCTGATGTTGACGATTCGGACGAAGTTATTGATACTGTACAACTTGCAATTCAAAGAAATAAAGATGCTGTGAATGTTGCTCGAGAATATTGTTCAAATGAAGATGTTCTTAAAAGGGCAATAAAATCTTTGATAGCAAAAGATTTAAACAAAAGGTTCACGGCTGTTGAACTTGTTAAAACCGTACAAGATATTGAAGAAATATGTGATGGATCAATCTTGTCATTTCCACTTGAAAGGAAAGACGATAAACATGAAGACGAATCAGGTGATGAAGAAACAGAAGAAGATGTTTTGGGTTCAATCGAGGAAATGGCAGAAGCAAACAGAGAGTTAAAAGGGCCTGTAACGTGCAAGATCTGTCTTGATGCGATAGCTTGTATCATTACCCTTCCCTGTGGGCATATGATGTGTTGCTCTCAGTGTGTACCAGCTCTTTCAAAGTGTGCTTTATGTAGAGCACAGATAAAAGGCACAGTTCGGGCACTAATGGCTTTTTGATGTCCAAATTCTCGAATGTTTTAATTTAATTGCAGTGCTTGGTCTAGCATTCCATTTTGGTTTTAGTTTTTCCTCTTATAACAGAATCACATTTTGAAGCTATACATAACAAATATTTAAGAAAATTGTGCTGCTTAATAAAACGTAAATTAAGCTTTTTTGCGTACTAAATGTTCTTTAACGTTTCCTTGTATTTTCAATTATAGCATTCAAACGATCCGCCTTTACAACTAACACATTTTAACCTTGTTCTAAGATTTTAATCATATTTCATATTCCGTTACTGATGACAAACTTAAATGCAGCTGTTTCAAACGCTTTTCTATATGAATATCTCTGTACAAGCAAGAAAAAATTCAATTTTGGAAGAAAAAATTCAGAGTATCAAGATCAAGAGGATATACGTATAGCGTATGATTAAATATCTGGAAAAAAGTGATCCCTCGGAAGCATAAAAAACAGCAATATTACACGAAAATTGCAGACTCGCTTTGATTTTGTCTGTATATGAGGGATTATGTAAAGGTGCAACATCCTTCACGTCCCCTAACATCAGCTTGAGCGGTACTCAATTCTCAACACTTAAAAGTGCTGGACTTAATGATCCCGAAGGACCAGAAAAATATAACAACACTGAAGTGAAGTACGGGGTTACTTTTTACAGCTGCCACACATCACTAAACACCTGCTGTTGTGATGTATAAATATCTGGAAAAAGTGATCCTTCGGAAGCATTAAAAACACCAAAATTACACGAAAATTGCAGACTCGATTTGATTGACTCTGTACATGAGGGATTATGTAAAGGTGCAACATCCTTCACGTCACCTAACACCGGCGTGAGCGGTACTCAATTTTCAACACTTAAAAGTGGACTGAATAATCCCGAAGAACCAGAAAAATATAACAACACTGAAGTGAAGTACGGGGCAACTTTTTACGGCTGTCACACATCACTCGACACCTGCTGTTGTGGTGTATAAAGACCGTTACAAGTATATCCATTGGTTGTTTGTAGACGGTGTATGAATTCAATGTCATTTACTAGACACCGCTACCTGTAATTATTCGAGATTTTACACGAACCATCTTTATGAAACCTGCAATTTATAAAACATCTTTATGAAACCTCCCATTTATATTTTCAACCTACGGGCCAGTATCGCAGGTTGGTTCTTATTGAAGAATAAAGCACACTGAATTTTTTTGCAAATTTTACTTTCTCGCGTTCTTATTGTTAGATGTGAGTTTTGCGCTTTTTTCTTCCATTTTTTATCATCGCATAGCTTAGCTGTCGAAACTGGTAGATGGGGTCGTCAAATGCCATAGATGTCATTATCTAGAAAATGAATTTCACTTTGTAATTTAATGTCTAGATTTTTTTGAACTAAGAAACAAACATAAAAAAAAAATTTTTTTGCAGGCGCCCAAGTTATCATGGTTTTTTTTGCAATTATTAAATAGTGGAAACAAAAAAGATATTTGAAATCTTGCAAAAAGTTTATAAAGCCTTTGAGGAAAAAAAGAGAAAAAAATCAAAACACACAAAACTAATAGCTTGTCAGCATCCAAAACTTTTTCATCGACAATTAGATAAGGTTTGGACATTTTTATTATCTCTCCCAAAATGATTAAAATGTTTAAGTATTATTATTTTGGCTTTTTATCTAAAGAAATTATATATCTGTGTATACATATATATTCAATAATTTGCTCTCAAACCAGCTGTGATTTAATTGATTGTAGCTTTTATTGGTGTAATACCCATGGATAATATGTGATTTATAAAGTTTCTTCTATACTTTATTATTATTATTATTTATTAGTATTGTTGTTGTGTCAAACACTTACCTTTCATACATATGTCAACTTTATTTGTTTTTACTGTTAACGTTTTTAAGTACTATACGCTTATTTGGCTTTTAATACTTTTTTGACAGTATCTAATTTTATTAAAAAAAGAAGCACATAATTGTTGCAATATTATATTTTGTTGGATCAATAATAATACCCAAGTAGCAATTTAAAGCTTAAAATTAACAAAATATGAATGTCTATCCTTATATCCTTATTGTAAAAACTGGCACTCATTCAGGTTATATAGATCTCAGTAGAAATTAATCTATTCACTGTATCTACATAAATATGACTGTAACTCTTGAGGGTATGATTACGTTAACAAGTCATTTAGTAATTGGTTACATACACGATATAGTTAGTTATTTCGCTTCAGATGCACAAAAACAATATACTTACTATTTTAGCATTTCATGACGTAGTTACAATGTCATAAACTGTATGTTGATTTTCTTCCAAAACATGCAAAATCCGATCTTACCTGTTCAAATATTATATTCATTTCTTCTGTTTTAGTAACAAAGTGGACCTACAAGTTTTGTTAATATAGTGGAGAATAATTCAAGACTTAAGAGCACATTTATTTTTGGTGTGAATAACACAAGATTAATAGACAATATTTTTAGTAAGCATTTGATAATAGTTTATAAACCAATGAAAAAATACAACAATAACAAATTGGTATGAACTATGTGATTCCATACATTCTCTGATATCAGTTCACACTGTATTAGCTTTGTCGTTTCTATTACAACATAGGCAGTAACATAGACAATGATTAACTGAGAAATATCATGTTCAGCTCACATTTATCATACTCCTCTATTGTAGAAATAAAGGTCACCCTTAAAGCTACATGTCTCCAGATGAGTATAATTATTGTATTCGAGAAAATCAAAATTGAGAAAAATGTACTAAGATTTTATGAAAAGTAAAAGTATTTAAGATTCAGTTAATAATGTACATGTTATGTGCGATTAATGACTGGCTTTGCAGTATTAATTATTATATTTCTACTGCGTTACAAACGTAGGTGAATTTTTGCATATTTTGATAATTTTGGTAATTTACGTGGGTTGTAAATGCCATTTGTAATGTTGTTTTTTTTATTTGAAATGTGTGAATTTCTTTCTATATTTACTTCACAACACCCTACTTTTAAATACATTTTCATTTTTTTATGAAAATTAGCATGAAACCGGAGGCATGCTGCTTTAAAGTCAGTATATTGAAGGTGGTGAAATTCCTTTCGGAAAATATATCTGAAAATTACAAAACTGTGTTTTCATTTATCACTTGTATCGGAATGAAAGGTTTTCCGTCTGCACGAACAAGTTTAGGTGTTAAAATACTAGATGGTGATATCTTTGGTGTGGCTGGTGATTCCAACTTTGATGTTTCTGTGCTGAAAACGGAGTCTTCATAATCACTTGTACTTGTTTTTGACAACAACAGATCACGTGATTCGTCATCAACTTCCGTTGGTAGGCGACCATATAGGGCTGCATTGTCTTTTTTAAAGTTATGAAAGGACGTTTCCTCTTGCTTTTGGCCCTGAAACGGGCCCGACTTATGTGCTAGATCCGTCATTTTCTCCAGTAACTTTTCACGCCTATTCTTCTTTCTAAGAATTGCCATTTCTTTCAAGTAGGATCTCAACTGCCCATCTTGATTGTTTCTCCTGATATGTGAAGCAATCATCATAATGATAGACAGTCCATATATAAGAACAACTACCACAACGTAATAAACAGCTCCGTCATTGTCATATTCCGTTTCATGTGTGTCTAAAATTGCCACAAAGGTTTCATTATTAGTTGCCTGGACACGGAAACGCATGTTCCGAGTTGCCTCCATCGTACGATACTGAAAAAAATATTTTTCCTATATCGACTTTGATTAAAGGTGAAATAAAACATTTTAGATACTCGGTCCTCTTTTTTCATTATAGCTCATCTTTACATATTCATGTACACGTATAATCACATTTAGAATACAGAATGAATTTATCAAAAATATTATTATTATAAAAGTTAAAACATATTTTATTGCAGCACATACATGTAAAGTATTATACATATTATCATATATTGTTGTTTTTCTTTGTTTGTTTTTTTTTTGTTTTAATTGGGTTTTACGTCACATTGACACAGTATAGGTCATAAATTGTAATCATTTCACTGAATTTAAAGACATCATTGTGGTTCTATACATCATGACTTACAACTGTAAATGGGCGGAAACGAACTGTTAACCGAGTAATCCCTTATACCAATAAAGAGCAAGGCCCCGACATATGGTTTAACCAAAAGTTTATATCTATTTTATCAACAGAAAGGTTTATGGTGTGTCATGTACAATGGAAATCACAAACAAGAGGGCCATGATGGCCCTGAAGTCGCTCACCTGTACATAGGACCCCGGAGCAGGGCCAGTTTAAAGCCCGGGGCTTTTATTTGAACAAACTTTGTAGACAACCATTAGAAGATGTTTTATGCTAAACATCAAAGGTCTAACTCGTTGGGATTTTTAAAAGAAGATTTTTTAAAGTTTTTTCTTTACACATATAGTTAAAAACAATGACACACCTGGGGCAGGGCCAGTTTTGACCCCAGGGCTTTTATTTGAACAATCTTTGTAGACACTTACTAGAAAATGTTTCATGCTTAATATCTAAACTCTAGCTATTTGGTTTTTTAAAAGAAGATTTTTAAGTTTTTGCTATACTCGTAAAAGGAAAATCAATGTCCCCCGGGGCGGGGCCAATTTTGACTCCAGGGCTTTTATTTGAACAAACTTTGAAGACACTCACTAGAAGATGCTTTGTGCTTAATATCTAAACTCTTGCTATTTGAGTTTTTTCAAAGAAGATTTTTTCAATTTTTGCTATAGTTTTACACATATAGCGAAAATGAATGACCTCCGGAGTGGGGCCAATTTTGACCCCAGGGCTTTTATTTGAATAAACTTTGTAGACAATCACTAGAAGATGTTTCATGCTTAATATCTAAACTCTAGCTATTTGGTTTTTTCCAAAGAAGATTTTTTAAGTTTTTCCTATACACATATAAGGAAATTTGGAAAATCAATGACCCCCAGGGCCGGGCAAATTTTGACCCCGGGCCTTTTATTTGAACAAACTTGGTAGACACCCATTAGAAGATGTTTCATGCTAAATATCTGAGCTCTAGCTCTTTGGGTTCTTTAAAAGAAGATTTTTTAAGTTTTTACTATATGTATAAATGGAAAATCAATGACCCCCTGGGGTGGGGCCAACTTTGACCCCAGGGCTTTTATTTGAACAATCTTGGTAGACATCCATTAGAAGATGTTCCATGCTAAATATCTTAGCTCTAGCTTTTTTGGTTCTTTAAAAGAAGATTTTTTTAAGTTTTTACTATATGTATATAGGGAAAATCAATGACCCCCTGGGGCGGGGCCAATTTTGACCCCAGGGCTTTTATTTGAACAAACTTGGTAGACATCTATTAGAAGATGTTTCATGCTAAATATCTTAGCTCTAGCTCTTTTGGTTCTTTAAAAGAAGATTTTTTAAAATTTTACTATATGTACATAGGGAAAATCAATGACCCCCTGGGGCGGGGCCAATTTTGACCCCAGGGCTTTTATTTGAACAAACTTGGTAGACACCCATTAGAAGATGTTTCATGCTAAATATCTTAGCTCTAGCTCTTTGGGTTCTTTAAAAGAAGATTTTTAAGTTTTTACAATATGCATATAGGGAAAATCAATGACCCCCTGGGGCGGAGCCAATTTCGACCCAATGGCTTTTATTTGAACAAACTTGGTAGACACTCACAAGAAGATGTTTCATGCAAAAAATCTAAGCTCTAGCTCTTTGGGTTTTGTAGAAGTAGATGTTTTAAGTTTTTTCTTTTGGTTGCCATGGCAACCAGAGTTCTGCATGGAATTAAATTCTTTGAACAATTTTCAAAGGTGACCACCAAAGGAACATTCCTGTGAAGTTTGGATGAAATTGGCTTAGTGGTTTATGAGGAGATGTCATTTAAAGTAAAAGTTTACGGACGCCGGACGGACGACGGACGGACGGACGCCGGACGAAAAGCGATCACAAAAGCTCACCCTGTCACTTTGTGACAGATGAGCTAAAAATGGTTTGCTCAAATTAAAACATGTACATTTTTATGTAGAAGAAAACTAAACACAACAGTTATGTATGTCGTATGTAGGAGATTTTAAGTGTGTTTCTTAGCCACTGTCTACATCTTCCACAATAAAGTCATGCATAATTTTTCGTCCATGCCAAGTTTGACTCCCCGGACATGCTTTGGTTCTTGCCACGCCCGAACTTTAAACATGACTTAACAGACAGACAGACAAAAACAATAGGCCCCTGAATCATGGGGCATTAAACGATTTTTAACTGGGGCCTCAATCCTTTTAAATTTGAATTACTCTCAAATAGCAGTAAATACTACAGGAAAACGACACATTTATCACAAAACATAAAATCATGATTGTGCAAGTGATGTTTTTTCCAAGATAATCCCCCGGTACAAATAATCTTTTACCGTTTTAACTTCACGGTGCACTGCCGTTCTCAATAGATAAGCAATTTCGATCCGAAGCTTTAACTGTAAAAGTTTGATATTATCCCCCCCCCCCCCCCGTGGGAAAAAACAAAATACTTTTATTCCGGTGTAAGTCTATTCATCGTAGCACATATATTATTGAAAAAGATCTTTTGGTCGGGTTATGTTACGTTTTGCCCGACGACAGCAGCCGACAATCGGTAGTCGAAAACTGTATTTTTGATCGATTATTAGATTCCGTAGTATATGGAGAAAATAACTGTGAAAATGATTGCTATTTGGCCTTATTTGGTGATTTTAACTCGCGAACATCTACCCTTCCCGACTAAGTGTCACATGACATATGCGATCACATGACTATGCTACCAGAAGATTATATAGTTGATACAGAAATGCCGCGGTCGTCTCAAGATCAAGGTCATGTTAATAATAATGGACGGCTATTATTAGATTTTTGCCGACAGACTGGTTTTAAGAATTTTAAATGGTCGAATAGATGAAGATTTAAATTTAAGCAAATATACATTTGTTAATCATCGGGGTTGCAGTTTGATAGATTATGTATTATGCAGGAAAGAAATGTTTACGTTAATTGACAGTTTTCAAAGTTGATGATCCAAATATTTTTATCGGATCACTGTATTTTATCATGTTGCTTTAAATTTAATAGAATTTGTACATTACAGAATGTTAAAATACACAATCAAGTACAAAATTTTGTTGAATCAAAATACATATGGAAAAATAGTTTGAAAATGGAATTTATTGATAGTTTGAGTGATAATGAAGTATCACAAAGTATTGATTTGTTGTCAAATGAAATTTCAAATTGTTGTACGTATGATAGTATTGATAATTGTCTTACTAATTTTGAAAATATATTAGATAAAGTAGCATCACCTATTTTAAAAAAGAAATGAAAACCACAGTCGGACGAGATTGTTTATAATTGTGAGAATGATAGTCCATGGTTTAATGAAGAGTGTTATGAAAAGAGAAATAAATTTTTGCATACTCTTAATGAATATAGATTATTTCATTCGGATGAGAATAGAGAAAAATATGGTAACTGCTAGAAAAGAATATAAATCATGTTTGAGAAAGAAAGATACAATTATGATAAGGAGAAAACATGTAAGCTTTTAGATAGCAGATTTAAAAATGCACGTCTTTATTGGTCTATGTTGAAAGAGTCTGCAGGTATAAAAAGATCAAATATACAATTATCGTCTTTTGAGAATTATTTTAAAGCTGTTAATAATCCAAATGATGTATTTTTTAATCCTGACGAAGATATTTTATATTTTAATGAAAGATATCGTGATAATGAGTTTAAAATTATGTTCGAAGAATTAAATGCCATCATTTCAATAGATGAAATTTATTTAGGAATGAAATAACTTAAAAATAATAGATCGGGTGGTCCGGATCATATTTTAAACGAATTTTTTATTGCTGGTAAAGAAATACTTGCTCCCGTGTTATCTATTTTATTCAATTAAATTTTTGAATTAGGATATTTTCCAGAAAAATGGTCTCAAGGTTATATTATTCCTTTGCATAAAAAGGGCAGTATTAATAATGTAGATAATTATAGAGGTGTTACATTACTTAGTTGTTTGGGTAAACTCTTTACTCGTATTTTAAATAACAGGCTAAAATGTTGGGCGGAAAAGTATAATGTGTATGTCGAAGCCCAAGCTGGATTTCGTTCTAATATGAGTACTACTGATAATGTTTTTGTTTTGAGTGGGTTAATAAATCATGTATTAAATCAAGGTAAAAAACTGTATACATTGTTTGTAGATTTTAGCAAAGCTTTTGATTATGTTACAAGAGATAACTTATGGTATAAAATGATTAAATTAGGAATCAGGGGTAGAATTTTAGATGTATAAGTCTGTTAAGTCAAGAGTTAAATATTTAAAGTGAGTTAAGTGATGAATTCACATGTACATTAGGCGTTAGACAGGGAGAATGTTTATCTCCTTTTTTATTTTCATTATTTATAAATGATATAGAAGACATTTTTCTGCAAAATGGAGAAAATGGTATTGATGTTAATATGTTTAAGATATTTTTATTGTTAATATGCTGATGACATTGTTATATTTGCAAATTCACAGCTGAAGAATTACAAAAGTGTATGAATCTACTAAATGATTATTGTAAAACTTGGAAGATGAAAGTTAATGTTTCAAAAACTAAAGTAATGATTTTCAAAAAGGGCGGTAATTTTACCAAGAAATTTAGAGTTCTATTTCGATGGTGAGCAAGTAGAAATTGTAAATAAATTTTCGTATTTAGGTATCGTGTTTACATGTGGTGGATCACTTTCAACAGCACAAGATACATTAGCAGGTCAAGCACAAAAAGCGATATTTAGATTAAATAGATATTTGTATAAATTCACTTTTATATCTCCTAAACATAAATTGGATTTATTTGACAAACTTGTTACCCCTATTTTAAATTACTGCAGCGAAGTATGTGGTTTTACTAATAATGTGGCAATTGAAAGAATTCACCTTCAGTTTTGTAAAAGAATCTTAGCGGTAAAGAAAACAACACAAAATGATTTTGTATACGGGGAATTAGGTAGAACAAGCTTAAAATGTACACATTTTTTAAATATTATCAAATTTTGGATAAAAATTATTCATTCACATGAAAACAAATATGTTCATAGAGTTTATCATATGTTAAAAGAATGATTATGAGAATTTTCCAAATAGATTAAACTGGTGTTCATCATTAAAAGAATTACTATGTACTCTTGGTTTCTTTTGATGCTTGGCTACAGCAAAGTGTTGGCAACTTTGATTTATTTTTGTATTTTGTAAAACAAAGAATAAATGATCAATTTATACAAAACTGGTATAGTAGAATTAATGAATCAAGCAGAGCCTTATTTTATAGAAACATAGCTTGTTTTCAATTTCAGCCTTATTTAGAATTTTTCAATGTTAACAAATTTTGTCAATCAATGACCAGATTAAGAGTATCATCTCATAGATTAAATATAGAAGCAGGAAGGTGGACAAGGCCAATCAAAAACACCAGTTAATGAAAGAAAATGTAGTGTTTGTAATTCCCTGGAAGATGAGTATCATTTTATCATGGAATGTCCCTTATTTATTGATCTAAGAAAACAATATATTAATAAAAAGTTCTGGAAACGCCCAAATATGATAAAGTTTATTGAATTGTTAAAATCTGAAGACAAAAAAGTTGTACAAAAATTAGGGTTATTTATTCACAAGGCTTTCATACTCAGAAATGAATATTTTTTCAGTAACTAATAAAGAAAATGAATTTAATATACACATGGTAGAATATAATTAATGTTTGTAAAAATTATTCATGTAAGACTATTCACAGACGCTTGGGGTTTGGAGCTCAAAACGCCTTTAAAATCCAAATAAAATGCATATTTGTCAATCCCAGGACATGTACTGATCATATATATCAAAAAATCTTAATATATGCCGTTTTGAAAAAAAATCATATTTCAACATCTATAATAATACACACAAGAAATAAAAATGTTCGCCGGAAAAAATCCGCACCCCTACCGTCATAATCACCATGTATTTTAATCCATTTCCAATATTTTCACATAATCCTTTGGTCCATCGACCACAGAAGATATAATTCTTCACGATGCATGGTCAATTTTAAACTTCAACGGTAATATAAACAACGCAACAGCCGAAAATAAACATCAATATTCTCTCGCCGTTTTTTTTTTCAACGACAAAAACTTTCGATAAATTCAATGGACCAGACGGCTATGAACGAAGCTATCCGATTATGTGGCCCCAAGCTTTGCCGTGTGCAAAATGCGCAGCGCTTTTAAGTTTTGGGAACCCACATAATCGGATAGTTCGTTCATAGCCGGCTTGTCCATTGAATTTATCGAAAGTTTTTTTTCGTTGAAAAAAACGGGCGAGAATATTGATGTTTATTTCGGCTGTTGCGTTGTTTATATTTACCGTTGAAGTTTAAAATTGACCATCAATCGTGAAGAATTATATCTTACTGTGTCGATGGACCAAAGGATTATGTGAAAATATTGGGAAATGGATTAAAATACATGGTGATTATGACGGTAGGGGTGCGGATTTTTTCCGGCGAACATTTTTATCTTGTGTATTATTATAGATGTTGAAATATTGATTTTTTTTCAAAACGGCATATATTAAGATTTTTTGATATATATGATCAGTACATGTCCTGGGATTGACAAATATGCATTTTATTTGGATTTTAAAGGCGTTTTGAGCTCCAAACCCCAAGCGTCTGTGAGATTATTTACCTTTGTCTTATAACCTTTGTTTTCGCATTTTTCTAAAGGTTAGAAGATGTTTATTGGTAAAAATATTTTTCAACCTGTATTATGAAAGGATATATACATGTATATCATTACCTTGCATTTCATTTTCGTGTAAGGTAGGGTAGAGAAAATAATGATGTATATATATTACAGAGCAATATGTTAAGATGTAAAATGATTTATACGTGCAGTCATTATATGTATAAAATTACATTTCTTTTATATGTATCTAAATTAAATACAAGTTTATATATGTTACCTCCTCCCATATAGATTCTTTTTTGGGAATGTATGGGTGTCACATTGCTTTTTGTTAAATTCATGCACTGTTCGTTGTATGTAGATATTTGTGCTATGTTTATCCTCATGGGCTTTTTAGCCTAATGGAATGTTGAATAAAACTTTGAAACTTTATTATCATATATTATAAGTATACCGGTAAATTCTAAGATGTAAAAATAGTTTAATTACCTTTGCCATATTTTGTTTTTCTCCGGGAAATAAATTGGTAAAATCAATCCTTTAATCTGAAAATTTAAAAAATAATTGTGGATCAGTTATATATACAGATTTTCTTGCCTTTTCAGTTTTGTCGTTTTGGGCGATATATTAGAAGTCTCTAGTAAGGTACTTTTGTAATTATGGACTGAAATATATGTTAAATTGCTTTATGATAGAAATATAAAACCTTTATTAAATTTTCTTAACCAACATTTCTTGTTGCATAATGTGACACCTTATGTTATTCATTCTCCATCTTAAACAAGAATAATTTGGTACCATTTTCTCAATGAAAATGCAAAAACCAGTGAACTTACATGAAAGTCAAATAAACCTATTTGTCATGTATATTATACCAATGAATTTCAACATAGTACTTCTATTTAAATGCACGTCATCACAAAAGTTAGTATGGTGGCGATATAATCAAATATGTACAAATGGTCTGAAAATAACAAGAATATTGTTATATTAAAATGATTTTAAATTTTATTAAAGTATGGTATCACAGTTGTACATATGACATAGTAAAAAAACATTTTTCACACATCTAGGCATTACTTCAACCTTTATATTGTTAACTTTTCTATCAGCCTTCATACTGAAATCATGTTGTATGTTTATAAGTTAAAATGATTATTAGATTATTAACAATCTAACATGCTGAATAAATAACACTTTCTAATGTTATACTAAATGATAATACAGTTTTAAACTTACAGTATCTTCTGTTTTCCATATTTAAATCAGACACATAAATCCTGATTTTACGTTTTATATTTTCCGTTTTGTCTGAGATCAATTGCTGTAGCGAGCTACAGGTTGTTTCTGTTGTACTTGAGGCATATAGCACAGAACAGCGTAGAAAACACGAGATTCTTAATGAATATTGACAATCTGTTTTATCGATAACGGTCTATTAGCAACACTACGAACAACAAAGTTAGTTATGAAGAACGTTTATTTCACTTAAACTACAAGTTTCTCGTGATTAACATATATACAAGCATACATATATAATGACATGAAAAATACAATGACATGAAAGTAAACATAATATATTGGATGGACGAAACAAAATAGAGATGACACAAATATTAAAGCATTATGGCTATTACATACACAGTAGTCTATACACATTAAAACCTTTCATTAGATTGGACCTGTTAGGTATACATAAAAGTAGGTTGAAATACATATCTAAGCATTAATAATCTGGTATCGTAATTTGAATGCTTCATTAATATATTGACAAAGCATAATTATTGTTTCTTCATTTTTATCACTTTGATTGAGTAAACTTAAACATACTTGGTCTATTACTATAATAATTCTTAATATATATATTTCTTAAATTTTCATATGCAGCACACTTAAACACAAAATGGAACTCATCCTCAATTTCATTTGTATTGCAAATTAAACAATATCTTAATTAAATTACGCTCTACTATTTCACGTGAATATCTACCTGTCTGTATTCTAAGATTATGAGCTGAAATACGCAGTTTTGTCAAAGCTATTCTTAGTCTTCTTGATACAATATTTTCTGAATAAGGTGACACATTAAAACTGTCCTTCACTGATTTATATAAAAATAATACATCATTACAATTTATACTAGCTCTCCATTCTTGTAAATATTCATCTATTAATCTATTTTTTAAAAACGACAATAAAACAATTTTGATTAACGCTTTATAAGGTTCAACCATACATCAAACAAACGTATTTTTCTAAAAGACTTTGTACATTTGCAAACCGGTTTGTATACCCTATATTTATATCAGACATACATGAATTAACAATTGTATTAATAATAATGTTACTTGAACTTATTATCTTAAACCAAAATTTTACAATTCGGACATATCTGTTTACATACAACGGATATCTTCCAAGTTCACCATACACAGCTACGTTACTAGTAGATTTTCTAACACCAAGAATAGTTTTACAAAATTTCAAATGAATATTTTCTAACTTTTTTGATTTGTAAAACCCCATACTTCACTTGCATACATTTAAATAGAACTAATAAAAGAGTCGAACAACTGTAGGGCTATTTTTGGTTTTGTTTCATATTTTTTCAAATTTGCCACTAAATTGTTTAGGGCTTTTCAACTTTTACCATACAAAGTTTGAGTATTTAAGTTAAAATTTCCTGTATAATTCAATGTGACACCTAGATAATTAAATCATTTGCAATTTCTATATTATCTTGACCATATAACCAGTTTTCTCCTGCTCTTAAACCACCTCTCTTACGAAAAACTACGATTTTAGTTTTGTTTACATTAACTTCTAATCCCCATTTATTACAGTATTCATGAAGTTTATTTAATGAATTTTGGAGATCTAGAGGATTTTTATCAATTAATACCATATCATCAGCAAACAAAAGTAAAATTAGGCAAATATCTTGAAGATCTATACCAGAATTTAAGTTATTTTGCAAATAAAGTTCTAGATCTTCAATAAACAAGGAAAACATAATTGGGGAAATTATCTCCCCTTGACATAATCCAATCGAAATATCAAAAACATCAGAATAGTTACCACAGGACTTCACACAAGATTTAACAGAGCTATACATACTTCTTATTATTCTTAATAATTTACCATTCAAACCAGCATAATACATCTTAAACCAAAGTGCATCTCCTGTATACTCGTACATAAATCAATAAAAGCACAATACAATCTTTTATTCTGGTTCAAATATTTTTCAATTATAGAATGCAATATAAAAACAGCTTCTGTAGTCGAACTACCTTTTTTTAAAACCAAACTGAGCATCAGAGATAATATAATTTTCATCACACCATTTAGTTATTCTTTGATTTAAAATACTAGTAAACAATTAACCAAGATGACTTAATAAAGTTATTCCTCTGTAATTTTGTACATTTTCTTTATTTCCCTTTTATGTAATAGTATAATACAACCTATTGTCCAGATTTCGGGAAAAATGCCAGATTCTAAAATATTGTTAAATAGCTCTGTTATATGTCCAGACAAAATATCACTTGCTTCTATAAAATATTCGTTTAAAAGATTAGCTATCCCCGCCGCTTTATTTCGGCACATTGTCACACAATATATATATTTTGGTTATTAAATGTATCATATATACTAGTATGCTGGTCTTCATGTTGTGGTGGTGGTTGTTCACCCTCCGGATCACGGCAATAAGCCACATTGAATTTATCTATGCACAGCTCAGCTACCGCATCGTTTCTGGACAGACTGCTGCTTTTACACGTTTTAAGAATACATTGTTATTTGTAAGACCATTCCGAGTCTGCAATTTCAATTACCCGGTAATAGTTTTTTTAACGTTGTTATTGAGGGATTTCCTTCCGTCAGAATTTGTTTACCCGGTACATACACTGTATAGTGTTTAGTATAAAGCCATTGAGTTGACTATAATATAAAAACATAAACGTGTGTCAGGTGTTTAAGTATTTTATCACAAAATTTTGATTGAATGTCTGAAGTGTTGATGTACAATGAAGGCTATGCTGTTCTTAACATATACATGTATATATAATTCAAATATATCAAATAAAAACAAGAAGAAACTGAATTTTAGCCCTGCTTTGCTCTGATAAAAACACACATTTAGTATAATGGTAATTTGTCATATCATTAAAAATGTGATGTGTTTGATTTAAAGGTCTCCATTTCCAGAAGTCAAATTTTCAAATATATTAAAGTAGTGTAAAGTAGTCCATTACTTTCAAAAATCTTAATGAAATGGTACTATCAATTAGATCTAGAACCATGCCGGTATTTTCATGCGCCTTTTCGTAATTTTTGTCAAGTTCTCTTAATATAATTAATGCACATTATGCAAAAGCACTAACTTCCGTCCACATTTAAAAGGTAATGTATCAATTGGTTAGTTGATTTTTATCTAAGTAAGAATAAGAAATTATATTGTGCATTTGTGGATTATAAAAAAGCTTTCGATTCTGTAAATAGAACTTTTTTATGGATGAAACTTTTAAAGCACAATGTAGATGGTAAAATGCTAAGGGTAATTTATAGTATTTACGACAAAGCTAAATCCTGGGTAAAAAGCACTCAGGGTTTATCAACATATTTTACAAGTGCAACAGGTGTCCGTCAAGGTGAAAACATATCACCCATTCTTTTTTCTGTCTTCCTGAATGATCTTGTAGAACATATCTCAAATACGTATAAAGGTTTAGATTTACTTTCGCAGTCTATTAAAAATGTACTAAGTGATGATATAGTAGAGGTTTACTTTAAATTGTTTTTACTGCTTTATGCTGATGATACTGTAATTTTTGCAGAATCTGCATCTGATTTTCAATTAGCACTAGATGCTATGTCTACTTATTGCGAGTTATGGAAACTTCAAGTAAATACAGCCAAAACTAAAGTGGTGATTTTTTCAAAAGGGAAATGTAGAAATACTCCTTCTTTTTACTTTAACAATGCCATACTTGATATTGTTGAGGATTTTAGCTACTTAGGTGTTAAGTTTAATTATAATGGTAAGTTCAATAAAACTACTAAATACCTGTGTGACCAAGCTAGAAAAGCTATGTTTGCTGTACTTAAAAAATCCAGAACTCTTTGTCTTGATATAGATTTACAGTTACAACTTTTTGACTCCATGGTCACTCCTATTTTGTTATATGGTGTAGAAGTGTGGGGTGTAGGTAACATTGATATTGTAAAGCAATTTCAGTTGAAATATCTTAAACTCATAATGAATGTCAAAAAGTCCACTCCTAGTGTTATGGTATTTGGGGAGCTTGGTACTCTTCCAATTGATTGTGTCATAAAATGTAGAGTCCTAAATTTTTGGTGCAAAATCATTAATTCGAAACCTGATAAAGTATGTAATATTATGTACAAACTAATGTTTGAATTGGACCGTCAAAACGTATATCACTCCCCATGGATAGTTTATGTTAAAAAATCATTGCAAGAGCTTGGTTTTGCTGAATACTGGATAAACCAATCTGTGTTATCACCTTCTTATTTTAAAAATATTGTCAAATCTAGAATCAAAGACCAATATGTTCAAATGTGGCATGAACAGGTGTTTAACTCTAGCAAATGTATCACTTACAGAATTTTTAAATCCTCATTTGAGTTAGAACCCTATTTTAAACTTTTACCTAGAAATCTAGCCTTATCGCTGTGTAGGTTTAGATGTAGTAACCATAAACTCCCTATTGAAAAGGGTCGTTATATAAATTTGGATCATGATTTAAGATATTGCCATCTCTGTCCAAATAATTCTTTATTAGGTGATGAGTTTCATTATATTTTTCAATGTCCTTATTTTAACATTTATCGTAGAAAGTACTTGCCCACTAATTTACGAAGAGGTAACATGTTTAATTTACAGCAATTATTTCAAAATACTGATAGAACTGTATTAATCAAACTGTCTGTTTTTACACAAAGAATAATGTCTATTGTGAAATAATGTTTACCACCTTCTAGTCAGTATCTATTGCCAAGTATTGTCTTTATTTTCATTATTTACTTTTATCTATTTTTATGTATTTTATTTAATTTTTTGTTATTTTTTCATC